TATTATTGCCTGCTGAAGGAGTCGGATAAAAAAATCTCAATTTTTATTTTATTTTGCATTGCCTCGTGCCTACAACTTTGCATGGAGGTGGCATATTATTATAACAAGTCCCCCAAGCACTTTCTGAAAAGAACCTCTTATCCCTGCCGATCCCAGGGGATTACAGAAATAGCAATAACAGAGGATCTAAAGAAAGAGACAATTTCCTGTGCCGATAAGGCGGCAGCTGAACAGTGGTGTCATTGTCTGGTTCCCTGTTTATCGCATTTGCGCTCAGAGAGGGGGAGAGAGGAAGGACTGAGGAGAAGGAGCGTCCAGTGGCTCCTTTTGCAGGACTGAAGAAGGGATGAGCAGGTTCTCCCTTCCCCAGCACCCGCCACGGTGCAAAACGCCCAACAGCTGGCTGTAGAGGGAGACCTGCAGGGTGCACGTCCCGCCGGGAGGCCGCGCAGCCCTCGCTGTCCGCCCCGGGCTCACCTCCGTTTCCCAGCACCCCGCCAGGGCTGATGCTGCGCGGAGTCGCTCGTTCAGCCTCCTGCCATGCCCGTGTTGCTGCTTGATTGCCAGTTAATGCCAAACCCCGGGACAGCTGCCTGCACCGTGGCTTTTAATGCTGATTTAGCGCTGGTGAAACGGTGAGCGACCGGCGCCGGCGAGCCCGTCCCTGCAGCCTCGCGGGAAGGGCACGCGCTCCCCGCACGGACCTTCGCACCATCAGATGGTTTCAGCTTGCTGGGGAGCCCCATCGAGCTCTTCTCAGGGCGCCGCTTCTTCCAGTTTGCTGCGTGGGACCGTAAAGCAGCATCGCTATTGCAGAGTCGCAGGGGGAGGTCCCGGACAAGGTGCTTGCTGGCTGTTTGCTGGCAAGCCCTTCGTGCTGGGTAGCACCCGTAGGTACTCCGGGGCCTCTCACGGAGCTTCTCTTGCATGGACAAAATGGGATGGAGGGACCACGACCTGCCTCGAATCAGAGCAGGAGCTGCAGGGGGAAACCGAGGCCCATTGTGGCACAGAGGCTTTGTAAGGGGAGCGCTGGGATGTAAGGGGTGCGCTTCTCAGCGCTGAGCTGAGAAGGGGGCTTGCCGTGGCCGGCTGCTGAGGTCCGCGCAGGCTGCAGGAAACTGGGCCGTTTCCGAGGGCCCTGCTGAGGGCAGGCGGACGCGGGCTGCCCTGGGAGGCGGCTGGAGGGGAGGGGGCGCCCG